TGCATAGAATCGTGACCCATTCGTCTGATCGATCAACAAATAACCGTCGTTCTCGTGCTTCCAGTTAACAACTAATGAGGCCAGTTTACAGCGCCCACACCGTCCCCCGTTGCTTATTGAGCCGCACTTCATTTCTGTTTCCTCATCAGTTGAACCCTTTTGTCCCATATACACACCCACAAGCCGCTTTCTCTCACTTCTCTCTAGTCTCCAGCACCCTGTAAACGTCCGCGAATAGACGGTCCTGATGAAAAAAGCGCATGCGGTGGTGTTCTAAATCTGGTTGCAGTCGTACCTCCTGAAGTCGAATGTCCTCATGCGCATCTCATCCCCGGTTGGGCTGTCTATTTCCCTCGTGGTTCGCTGCTCAACGTGTTCCATAAAACATTGAATAAATTAAAACCGCTGCCTACACAGCTGTCACACTTGAAGCGAATCGACACGTGTCGGAAACTGGTTGATCCCAAATCGGCATCTGTGTTCCTCGGTCCAGCTGAAGTCGGGTAATTCTCGCATTTGATGGAACAATGTGAAACCCACGGTTTGTGTACTTGCAGTATGATATTTTCCGATGAAATCAGTGCGCAACTATATTCTCTTTCTCTCGTGTCGATGTAGTTGCTCGCAGGTATCTGAACTTCGGATACTCGACTGTATCGACGTCACCTAGGGAAGGCCGTTTTCCATTGCATTTATACACACACTGCTTTATATGCGTTCTCTTTTCCACGCCTGACTGGTATTACCGTGTTTCGTCCTATATGATATAGGTTATTCTCGAATGTGGTGTTTGTAGTGATTCTCGATTATACACGATGTGAATAACGTAAAGCCTTTTCCGATCTGGATATGAGCTTCTCATTTTTCTAAGAGGTAGAACTCTTGCGTTCTTCCTATTGATCTACCACAGTATGTAATAAACCTTGAATCACTCGTTTGACTTCCCGGTTACTGACAATGATCGCATATGCGTATTTAGTAATTCATTAATTTGCTGTATATCATGTATACTTTGTCCAAATATTTCGAATTCCCCGCTTTGAATCTGTTTGTTCGAATAATGTGCTTTTAAGATACTAGCCTCAGTGTTCCTCAACATCCGTGGTCCCAGCCTGTACGTACTGCGAACACCGAATTATAGCAATCACACACGGGCTGCCTAAGTACAGCTGGTTCGAACAATTACACCCAGAGGTTTTGATTAGAAATATATGGGGAAATTTCTTCTGAGAACTACCGGTGCGGTACCCACACTGAGTAGTCAGTCGAAGACTGTTTAAGCTTCGCACTCTATTGAAACTAACCTGAGTGGTTAATTAAGAACACAAAACTGGTGTTCCCTGGAAGATTTTTTTCTCGTGGTGGTTTGCCCCTTTTACTTTCTGGTTCCTACGATTTCCACTCATTCAGATTCCGTAAAGATGAAGCCATCTCTCTTGTATCTGAGGTGTTTACTACACTCCAACTAAGCCCGGACCGAGTATCTGCATTCCGAGTAGTGCCTTGTTGGGTGCCCTTTGCCCCGCCTATCACACGTGTACATCAGAAGCTTTACGCCCCAAGTGATCATTCTCATGATGAACTTCTAGTTGGGTGGCCTACGACGCTACGGACCAGTCCGACACTAGAGAGTTTGCTCCAAGTCGGCCGTGGTCAGTCCTCCTACTTCACACCGGAGCAAACTGCCTGGTAAGTTGAGATTTTTCAGCTCGGTAGTGTAATGTATTTTATCAGGTTTTGTTGCTATCTCTCGTTTTATCTGAGCAGATCTTTCTGTGCTACACCCACGCGACCTTGGAGTACCCAATACGATTGGTATTACTGATTTTCGTCGTATTCATTACGTCTGAAGACAGAGTGAACATTCATTGACTTAACCAATCTCCCCGTGCAGTCGATTTACAGTTGGTTTACGTTGAGCATGGAATTATCGTTATTGTTGCCACGTAAGCTGACCCGATGCTCAGTTCATTTCTTTCGGTTGAAATTATCCTATTCAACCTAACCCAATCCCTCCTCTCTCTCTATCTTGGTTTATTTTCAGTCAGCAACAATGGCTAACCGAAGTTGAACATTTGATTAAATCTCAGGAAGAGACTTCTTCACAGTCGTGCTTGGGGCCGAACGGACCGGTTTGCGCTGCAATCATCGTGAACCCGGATAAGCAAACTGTCATAGGCAAAGCAGTGACACCCACGTCCAGCACTCCCCAGAGCTCATGTCTGGATCATGCAGTCTTTCTCGCCATTGAGCAAGTAGCCAATCTGCAACGCAGTCAACCTGCATCGGAACAGGAGTTGATGTATCTATGCACCGGACTTGAAGCATATGTGACCCATGAACCCTGTTTCATGTGTGCAATGGCCTTGGTCCATAGCCGAATTCGTCGTGTGTATTGTCGCCAACGTAATCCGGTCTACGGTGGTTTTACCGGCCGTATCCGAATTCACGCAGAACAAAAGTTAAACCATCGATTTGATGTTTTCGCACCAGCTTCTTCGGACTCATAGTTTTCCTATATAAACTGATGTACAGATCTATGCACTTTTAATCTGATGACTGTCCAAAATAATCAGGTTTTTGTTACGTAATGATGCTATCTACCTATCCTTAAAAACATATTTGGAAAAACTACACTATTTTTTCACTATCCGTTGACTTACAACATCTCCCTATTCAGCACAGTCGACCAACTGGTATTTACGGGCATTAAAATCACCGGTAACAATGATTATCGCAAATTTTCCACTACCCGCCGTCGAACAGTAGAGAGTGAACCTCAAAATCACGACCTGTTGTTCTGTTTTAAACACCGTATAATTCATGGGATAAACAGTTCGAGTTCCTGCGGGGATATAAAGATATCGGTTAAAACTCCTGGCAGCGAAAATTGGTTACCAGCACATCAGCCCGGGAATTTGATGCATATGTGCATGGCAAGAAAGCAGATTAGTATTAGACCTAAATAGCGGTGTCAATGTTCAGATCTGAGAGTTCGAAGCATCTCTCTGAGTAACGTAAACCAAAACACCTAAGCAATCGGTAACTAGCCCATGTCGCCAAAACTCCAAACGGCCTAAATTACTATTACCTCGCACAGCGTAGTGAACCATTTCAGTATTCCCTGATGTTCCACAAGAATAGAGGGAATGGTGGATCTTCATCGTTCCAAAAGACTCCGAAATCGCATGGTTGGAGACACTGATGGTCATGTCTACGAACCGACATCAATGGCGTGCTTGCTGTCGCTTCTTATCAAACCAGAATGCTTGAAATAGTGTGTATGCACAGTTGAACTGTTTACTCTGTGCGTTGACCATAGAGGTTCGTTTTCTTCTCCCGTCCCTAAAAATAGGCCCCATCGCTGTCCTCCTTACACATTCTTACTTATCCTGTATGCATCCTGAGTTTGGCAGCGATCAGTGAAGTTCGCTTCACTGTATTACGCTGTACAATGATTATGATGATGATGACAGCTTTTCCCCAGCTGCCGATTGAAAACCTACATTTTGGAGACCACTTAGTGCGTTCTCCAATATTTCGTCTACCACGATATTGAACAGGAACGGTGAAAGAGGCACCGTTGACGAACGCCGCTGCTGGTGACGAATGGCCTACTCAGTTCATCATAGGCACTTACACGATCAGAGGTATGTGAGTACGGTGACCACAACAGGTTAACGTACTTCTGGGGCATTCCTTTCCGAAGAAGGGCACCCATCAGAGCTTCACGATCAAGTGTGTCGAAGGCTTCTTTCAGGCCAAGAAACACTGCGATGGTTGGTCGATGGTGGGTGTGACGCAACGAAAAAATTTGATCAAAACATCCACGGCCTGGCCGGAATTCGACTTGCTGTTCACGGAAACTGATCTCTTTTGAAGAGATCGATCACGACGGGACTGCATCTTGACATGGTGTGATGGCTTGCGTGCCTCAATGACACTGCGAGCTACACAGGATTGCTTCTCACAGCCGTAGATCCAATCATGCCTGAAAGGTCGACGGGTAGAGGCCAGACGAAGACCAGTCTCACAAAGCCGGGTGTGGGCTACCGCGAAGTATGCTGTGCCCTAAAGTCTTGGGTACCCATTTGGAAAACCATCTTTACCATCTGTCTAGTCCTTCTCAATCCCGAATATTCCCAGGTGCCTCCTGCTTACGAGACCCATCACATAGCACTCAGCGTTCAACTAATAAGGTCAACCACTCAGAGGCAATCAGATTTTTGAAACCAAAATCTCCTTTCCACTTAGCCGCCCTCGATATACGCACACTACCAGATCCGGCCTCATCCTCAAGCTTCACTCCGTGTGTCAGGCGATTCGGTATCCGAAGCTCGCGGTCTTGCTGGCGTTGCGATTGCGCTAAGTGTCAAGGCCGAGCGTTCACTTCTCG